AAGTGCACTAAGACACATCAACAGGCTGTTTCTTTTTAGACTTGCTGGTTGTTAGCATCTATTTTGATTAACAGCTCATTTATTAGGGTTTGGGGTTTACAAATACCACTGGCAAGGATCCACAACGGGGCCACTACAGAAGCTGAGTCTTGCCTAACTGGAAGGTACAGTGCAGAACAGTTTACACATGTGCGGTGATGGAAAGACGTGCAGAGCTTGTTGCTGAGGTGAAGACAGTTCACCAGTACTGGCCATGCTTTAGAGAACTGCCCTGTGACAAATTCAGGTAAGGCAGTTAAATTAGAGCACGCTGCACACAAAGCTACAAAAGAGATTTTACTTACCCTGGAGTAAAGCAAAAATTTTCAGTAAGGAGTTGATGAGCAGTTGTGGGTTGATTTTTCTTTTTCTTTTTTTAAAGCAGGTTGATGATGAAAAAAAAATTCTCATGATAGTCATACTGTTCTGAGATGATTTCTAAAGCAGGAAGCATGACAGCCCCACACCCACAACAGCAGAAGCAGCTGCCACAGGCAAGTTGTCAGCCACACACTGCAGGTCTGATCCTGCATCACTCAGAGCTACTTGGAGCTTCGACATTGTCTTCAATGCAGTGAACTGCACAATACAGAATTAACTAAAAGCCCAGTGTAAGAGAGGAAGAACAAGTGGGTGGTATTACCCAAGTCAGAAGGTATTTCACATCCTCATCTCAAAGCAGGAATTGCTACAATAGAGCCCAGCCTGAACACAAGCACCAGGACCGCCACCACTTACACCCAGGATCTGCAGCACTAAGAAAGGATCCCACCACTAAAAAATAACAGCAACTAAAACAATCTCTAACCTCATCTGAAGTTCCCTGCAACATGACTTCAATGCCTGCCAGATTCTGAATGCTGGAAGAGAAATTTCTTCTTGATGCTGAAGGAAAGAAAAAAAAAATCAGAACAGGTTGTTTCAATTTTATCTGGAACATTTCCACCTGCCCACCTCTTTTCTGCACAAAACCTTTCCAAGTTCAGTGGAAGTCCATGCCTGGACTTGAAAAAGCTTAGAGCAACTCTGCCTTACAAAATGGCAGAAACCAACTGGCAGCACCCCACTGAGCCCCAGCAAGGCAGCATCTGCCCTGCTTGCAGGGACCCTGAAGGAGATAAGATGCTTTCATTTGCAGAGGTCAGGGCAGCAAACAGCTGTTCCCAAAAAAGCAACAACTCATGAGCAATACCAGAGCCCCCATAGCCTGTCTCACACTGTGAAAGCAGCAAAAGCAGTGCAAAGAGGGGAAAAATATGGAACAATAAGGATTGCTCCACTTTGGGCACTGCTTTGTGCTGTAAATTCCTGGTTACAGGTCAATCACCCCACAGCTCTCCATGGACAGCCTGGTGTTACCATCGCCTTTCCTGACCGGGCACAGAGCCCGGCTGCAGGCAGCTGCCCATCAGCACATCACCTAACTCCAGTGCCACACGGGTTACCCATTGCAGGGCTCTAGATTCCGATCTGAACCCAGGACCCACTGCACAGTGTGAAATATGCCAAGATATTTTCAATGCAGAGAGCTTTCAGTGCTGTCAGGAACAGCCCTGCTTTCCACACATTAGCACATTGAAATCTGTACCGCAAGCCTGTCAAACAAAGCAGCTGCTCCCTGGCTCTCCTACACCTCTCCTCAGATGGAAGAGCTTCAATTATGTGGCATGCCTGCAGGATTTCAGAGTTAGAAGTCCTGCTGCCATATCACGTACTTTAACCTTTTGCCTTCCTCTAGGCACTGCATAAGACGATCTGATGACTACTCTGTTCATTTTCATATGGTGGCTCCATGCAAAAGGTTGCCCTCCGAGTTTGTTTTTTTACAGCAGGGGTGTAGGAGTACCAAAACCGAAAGCTACTTAATTACTTATTCCCTCCCCTACATTTTCAGACCAGCAAGACAAGTTATAGAAAATATTTCCTGAGGGAATATGATCAATTAGAGGAAAGAAGTAATTAAAAGTAACCGCAATGTTCAATTTTACTTAATTTTATACAAGAGCTTTAAGACATTTACTTACTTACAAGCTTCAAACATGACCACATCCCATGATTTTCAGGAGGCATGGAACATCCTTCACAAATAACAGTCAGGAACATTTCCAGCCCAGCTCAGTTGCTGCTTAGATACCACAATAATGGCCATGCTAAAAGGCCTAATTAACTCCCACTGATTTCAGAGAAGTAACTAAATTAGAGCCAAAACAGGTATATCAGCAGGTTACCTTAACTTGCAGTCACCTCCTGCTTGCCTCTCAGTCACTCTGGCAACACACCGATTATCACAATACTCATGTTAGCTCCTGTTTCTAAACAAATACTGGAAAGGTGAATCTTTTCCCCTAAAAAGACTCTGCAGCATAATTAGCAACATGTACTAAACACTTGTAATCCACAGTCATCTTCCAGAAAATATAAATTTAAGGAGCTGTTGGTTCAAACTGACAGATTTAAACCGCTTGACAGTATATTGAACCTTCAAACTTCTGTTGAGAGCAAGAGACACATCAGACACGCATGTAGGTCTGTAATCAGAAATGTCAGACAGTAAAACAGCATAAAGTCTTGTTTTATATGCACCAGAAACGCATCTGCACAAGAAGACCAGCAGTGTAAGGTAAGATTTCCTGCAAGAATATTTTAGTTATCTTGAGCCTCACTTTTATAATCATCCCTGATAATTCCAGTAACCTCAATAGATCGTAAGATTAGAGGGCCTGTAGAAACGGCACTTCAGGTATTTAAGCATTCGCCTGACATGCTTTAACACAAAGAGCAAACAAAAAAAAATAATCTAGTTTGGAACTTGAGAAATTATCCTGCTCCAGAGCCAGCAGGATGCTGGAACCAGAAGCCTAACTCAAGTGCCAAAAAGTACATCAGTAGCATCATACATCTTCTGCAAGATGCAGCTTACATCAGGAAGCTACTTCGAAAAAGCGCGTGTGACATCGAGAGTCATGGCTGGAAATCAACGTAGGTTAGCTTCGCATGGCACACGAAACCCACTCTCCACCCCGCGTTAGTCTGTCTGCTGCAGATTGCTGACATATTGGCTGACATGCTCTTACGGAACAAACTGAGTCATGCTGCTAAGACTTGAAAATAAATGGTTTTTATAAAGCTCTGCCTTCTGCAGGCAGTACACCCAATTTCACAAAGCTGAGGCTCATGATCCGTACACATTTGCCCATTTTGCCCCCAAGATTACCTTTGCGCACCAACTCGTCTCCGCATGCAACACGCAGTTGTGAAACAGACAGCTACATGCACTCCACTTTAAGAAAAGAGTTAAGCCTTTTCTTAAAGGCCTCTTTATTTTTTAATTCCTTCAAAACATAAATTAAAACAAATCAGATGCAAAACACCTGCATTTTAAATTAGCATATATTTTACTGTATCAATCACAGCAACCTCATACAGTAAGATACACAAAAATAGAGCATGGTATCACTTCAATTCAACACAGTTTTATACTACAGGATTCCATGACATATATACACAGGACTTTTCTTTTTCAAAGCAAGTATAGTCCCTGCTATGTTCACCGTAAAAATTACGTGGCATCACAGTTTTAGTTATTCACTGTAGTGTGAGTAGCCATATGGAAATTGAACTAGTGAACTAGAAGATACACTGTATAGCAGCCAAACAGGCATGACACTTCAGATGAACAGAACCAAAATAACCACTGAAATGAAAACCACCCTTCGACTGTGTTTTAATAGTAAAATTGTTTTTAAATTCTTCACTATATACATAATGTATCTACATTTATGTCATATTTATATATATATATATTTATAAAAAACATACAAGATTTTGAAAACCTTAAAACCATTCACCAAAACAATATTCACCCCAACCTTCGGGTCAGCAAGGCAATACTTGCCTGTAACATTAAGTTCAGATGCAGTCGCTTGATTCAGCAATTTCCCTGATTGCTAAGCACACGCCATTCACTTTGTTTCTTAGTGCAAACTGTACAGTAACTTATTGTTCTCAGCCCTCTGTGAGCCTCAGGTTTCATCTTATTTCCATAATACTTCTGACACCCATTTATGGCTAAAATGATTTTAGCTATTTTACAATGTTAGCCTATATAGTTTCCCCCTCTACCTACCTCAAACCCTCCCCCCCCCCCAAAAATGTAAGACAAACGACCATTCATGCATGTTTCGGTCACACAGGGGTCAATGGACAGTGACATTTAGAAGCCTAGACTCTAACAGTGTTTAAAAAAACCCTAAGTGAATAATTTTAGTGCAAAGTAGACTACATGGTTTACATCTCAGCTAGAGTTCTTTACAGATATTTCAAACACATTTAGTTCTGCACATCAGATTAAGTTGCCTGATACTTCGTTCTAACTATCTAGTTGGAATAAGGAAGTTAGAAGGATTCTTGTGGGTTTCCTTTTAATAAAAAACTAAAGCCTATTCATAGCCAGGTGTGGTTTGGGGGTCAAACTGTACAGAGCCCAGCACAAGAGAGTCCTGGTTCTCGGCTAGGGTTCCTATGTGCTACAGTAATACAGAAACATTATTATCTGGTTCACATCCATAACTGATGGGTTTACTTTAACAGGAGTCACAAATGAGCTCTGATTTGTAACCAGGCCAGTGCTTTACTTGCTGGACTACACTACAGACTTCACAGTGAATTTGGAAGCAAGCATAATATTTATACTTACAATTTCCATAACCACAAAGGAAAAGCGTGCACTGAGAACCAAAATCCTGCAATTCTTAGACAAGACTCCACTTAGACTAGTGGTAGCCTTATCAGAGGGGGGAAAAAAAAGTCAGAATAAAAACAAAAAAAATGGATCAGAGCCAAGAACATCAGTCTGCCACAGTGACTATAATAAGCTATAAGAACAAAAAGTCACCTGAACAAATAACCCAGAGAGACCTCATTAAATCATTGTAACTAATGATTCTACCACTTTTAAGAACTCAACATATTAAATATTTATTAAAAATAAACTGTTTCCAAATTACCTATTTACAGTACAAAGAACAGTACTTAATACATGTGCAACAGAAAATAAGGAAAATTAGTACTCATCTGGAAGGACAACACTCTAGGCATCATTTCAGTGACATGAATACACATTCCCCTTTTTAAAATATCATACAATAAAAACCAGTAGGATGATATTGGCAACACCAGAAAATAAAGCACGTATTGTCCAGATTCAGATTATAAGCTTGAGATAAACAACGGGGAGATAAAGGGAGAAGGAAGAAACATAAAGACAAAACGAAGAGATTCTGTGGTGTTTGCATTTTGGAGATCAAGAAATGCAGACACACTTCAAAAAATAGTCCTTGTTGGCAAAACAAGCCATTCACGTATTTCTTGAACATTTAAAGTTACACTTTCTCAAAAACCGGCAGTAGCTTCATCACTCCTAGAAAATGAGAATCTTAATTTTTAGATTTTTCTTTTCAAGCCTTGCATGGTTTTATTTGGGCAAGGAGATGACTGCAATGTTACAGAAAGGTGCGATGTCACTTTTCTAAAATACAACAGCTGCCAAGTTTTAAAGAAAAATGTGCTCTTCTCCCCCATTTAAATTGAAAAGTAATGAGCATTTAGGAGTTACCTAAATTATAGCAGCATGAAATCTAATGTATCTGCAGCATCTGTGAAGCCACAAAAATCAAGAACTGGCACCTGATCACTGAACCATGGTTCCAAATATTTGGACACGTTATTTGGGTAAGAGGTCAGTGTATTTTCTTATCAGTGGAGTCAGTACATGAGTTAGGATAGCCCTTTCCCCTCCCCTTTCCTTCCCCTCCAAAACAGACTAACCAAGCCTATCTATAAACTACATGGGACAGCTGGGATGATTTATAGTTTAATTGATTGTTAGGCATGAATCTGTGAAGCTCGCTTTTTCTACAGCAGGGATCATAATAGTAAGCATTGAGGCAAGTGTCACATGAGACTTTTGAGCAAAACGTGCAAGTGTTTGCAGCTCCAGATCGGTTACAAAAGCCGCAGCGTGAGGTGCCTGAAGGTTTGGATTTCGAACTGAATTGAGCAGCTCTCTCTTGACTCTGAGTCTGTGACGTGTACTGAGATTTCTCCCTTAAAGCAGACGCAGAAGACAAGCCGTCACTTGGAAGCGGTTTGATTGAATAGGTGCTCTGTTTCACTGCTGGATATTCCTGCCTAGAGTTGAACAGATTGTCACACTTTTGGCAAACAGAAGTGCCACAAGGTACGCCACAGTTCTGGCACTTGAGGGAAGCTGTCTCTTTGGCTAGGTGGGTGCGTTTGTGGTAAACGGGGTTGGCATCATTTCTTAACAGCCACACATCAGGCTTAACAGCTTCTTGTCTTTTAAAATTTAACATACTTCTAGAATCAGGATCAGTATATAAATCTAAGTCCTCTTGAGCAGAAAAATAGGAGCTGTAAGGGACATTTGTTCTTAGCATACCATTGTGATGAGATGAAGTTGGCAAGAATTCATCTGAACATCCATGTGGGGAGCTTGACATTGTCAGAAGAGAGGGTAACGGACGGATAATTTCATCTTTAATGTCATCTTCCGCATCAACTAAAATTGGTTCTTTCCTGAGACTGAGTGAGCTCATCAAAGGTGGTTTCTTACTTTCCCAATAATTATCATATGTATCCACTGATTTAGAAGGCTTGCTTACCTTTGGCTTGAAATAATCTTTAGAGGCCCGTTCACTTGCCGACTTCTGGAGTACCATTCGTGCCATGGAAGTGTTTAAGTTTTCTTTGCACTCTGCACGCCGTCTCATGGCTTCTGAGCAGCCTCGAACATCTTCACTGCTATTTTTTCGTTCATTTATGACATCAATCTCTGAATAACCCTTATCCTTCACTTGCAAGTGAATTTCAAGAAGCTGCTCACATTCCACTTTGGCCAAGAAGAGTTCAAACGAAACCATTTTCACTTGAATGGCATCAACCTGCTCTCTGAGTTTATACATTGTTCCCAGTTCTTGGACATAGCCCATGTAGTTCAAAATCTGCCTTACATCATCTTCAGCTAGAGCAGACTTTACATAATAAACAAAGGGTCCAGTGTAGGTCTAAGGGGGTTGGGGGGGAAATAAAAGGAAAACTAGGTTACAAATTCAGTGGTGGACTAGATGTTCAGATAATTCAGTGACAGACACTATATAATTAAACAGAATAATAGCAACAGTGAACACACGCAACTCCCCATTGCAAGATTAACTCCATTTCTGTGTCCCTCCTGTTCAGCAGATGGAAATTCCACAAGAAATTCAAAGCAGGAGAGTTTTCATTCAAATTTAAATCCTGATTAGCATAATGTCCTCCCTGCTGATTTAAATCACTATGCTATACACTGACATTAATTTTTATGTGTAGCAGACATGTTTGCAGTTACAAGCAAGTCCACCATGAAAGGTAAAAAGGCAGAGATTCCATGTATTGCCCCTGGACAGAGATAACAGGAACTCAGAATTATTGCAGGAGTACCAAAGAAAGAGAGTCCTCTTCAATTCAGCTTTAAATATACTTGAGGCATGCACTTTTTAGTGGACTGTTACTATGCAGTTTCAAATGTCTGTTTTATTTAATTTTATATTCAGTCAAGAACGTCCACCAAAAAAAGCCCTAAAACCAAAGACATGAGTTTGTGCAACCTGAAATATCCATAGCATCTGGCATACCTGAAGTACGTTCTTAACACAGTTCAAACTGTTTTGGATTCCAGGCAAAAGCAGCCTGGCCACCACATCTTTGTATAGAACAGGTACTGGATCCACAGCGCACAACCAGACTCAATATCGGCAGTGCATCAAGAGATACCCTCGATGGGTCAGCCAACATTGAAAAGGCCAGAACTTGAGCTCTCTCTGGAGAGATCTTGAATAAAGGTAGTTTTCCCTCAGGGAAAAAGAACTCTCAAATGTTCTAATAATATTCAAATTCTCTGCTAAATAGTGAAATAGTTTCTTTTTAAGAAAAACAAACAAAAATACCCATCATTAGTGTACACAACCTGCAAATGATTTCAGCCACCTACACCAGCAGTGTTTTTATCCAGCTTTCAAGTCTCAAAACTGTTCTTGTAAGTCATCTGCAGCATTCATTACTGAAATACAGCAGCAGTTTTGAATAAGCATATAAGTAAAAAATAAAATAGAAAAACCAACAGCAGAGAACTCACTATCTGACTTCCAGCACCCAAGCCAAGCAATATACAAGTTCCTAACTTTTCCCTCTGAGATCCTGGCGTAGGTAAATAACTTTAAAGTACATTAAAATCAAAACTTCATTAATTGAGAACAACAAGCAGATAAAAGACATTCTGAAAACAATTCTTTCAGATAAGGTTCTTTACCATCATCATATAACATGTGGGAACCTCAGCAAAGTGTTCACTTGAAAGCACGCATTGGTTGTTACTACCTGTGCTCCATTAACAGCTGTTGCAAGACAAAAACCAAACTTTGAGTGAGCTTCAACACAACTTGACCACTCACCCTAGTGAAAGCATCTCCAAGTAGAAATTCAGACACTGCAGCAGGGTAGGCTGAACAAAAAACCTTAAATAAGCTCTTCCTCTATTTTATGGTTACCCTATAAAAGCGGACAGTGCTTGTACTTCTGCTCTCGGGATACTCTCTCCCCTGCACAAACTTCACTTATTTTACATAGAAACTTTCCCATGGCTCCTGTTTACCAACATAAGACAGACAAATATATACATCATGCTAATAGGTGGGGAAAAAAGAAGTCTTTACAGGAAATGCATTAAATGTTTTAAAAGAAAGAAAAACAAATCATGTTCTCACTATGGCCACACATAAAATGTCTTACCTTAATATTTTTGAACTCCTTTTTCCAGGGGTAAAGAAAGAGATTAATTCCAACTGTCTCCAGCATGCTGAATGCATTATGGAGAGAATGTAAACTTGAGGATTTCACAGATCTCAGTGAGTTTTCAGCCATCTCGTAAAATTTTATCAACCGGAATCTATAAAAGGGATCAATTTTGGGAAGGCAAAGTAAGGCTGCCGCTGCCACTCGCAAATACTCATCATTAATAGGACGCTGCTTGTTGTCAGAGGCATTCAGTTTGCACTCATGGAACTGTACATACTTCCTAAATAAATCGTCTTTATATTTTGTATCCATTGAAATCAGTTTTTATCTCACACTTGGGCAGCTACCTCGTCTCTTTCATGGTTATTCGGCAGTAGGTCGATTATCCAGCATTTAGAATCTTCAGTAACAGCAACTCTTCTGGAATAAAAATTGAAAACAAAGACAAGTCATCACAGTTCATAAATCCGAGATGTCCACAGCATCTACGTGCTTCAGGGGATTCTATCAAATGGTTCACAAAGCAGCAGCTCCCAGAACAGCCTCTTTAGGTTTCCGAAAAAGCACAAGAGCCTACAGAAATGCTGTTGTCCTGCTTTTCACTGTCATTCTCTACTCCTCTTCCCGTTATCCGCCTAAAACCGCGCAACAAACCTAGACCGAACAAGGTGCTGAGCGTTTGACACAATAAAGCTGATATAGGCTCAAGCCCAGACTAAGGGTTCCTTGGCTTAGGGAACCAAGGCAAAAGTAACTCACAGCAAAAAAAAACGAAAGGAGAAGCATGAGTCTTTAAGGTCTCTTCTCTGCATTTTATTTTGCCCTTCCAGTTCAAACAACCTACACAAACATTATTTTAACCAGCCACTGCTTAATTTTTTTTTTGTCCTGCACAGTGATATAAAGATTAAAAAAACCCACAAAGAAGTTTCACTTTGCACAACCTGAGAAAGCCTCTTACTTTTTTTTTTTT